ACTGGAGATGTGCCCGCAACCAAGGTACATGCCCTTGACCGGAATCGAACCCGGGACCCTTCAGTCCCCAAGCCGACGCTCTATCTATTGAGCCAAACCGGTCGCGGCTTGATGCTAATCTTATAGATGCACCCTAGGACTCCTCTACAGCCTGTTATAAATCTACCAGAAGCCTGGTGCATGGATTCGTGCACCAGGGGGTCCCTCAGCTGGGCTGGGCCCTCTCACAATCCGGGACCCCTTGGGGGGTGTCAGACTGCTGGTTTTGGCCCGATTCCCCAAAGGCCAGGTCGAGGGACCCCATTGCTGCACAACTCTGTGCACCAGGCCTCTAGTATGCATATCTTTGGTTAATTTCTTCCCGCCCTCCCCTGTGTAACCAAGGTGACCGTCACCCGTGGAAATTCATGCCCAATTTCCACTGATTGTCCTTCTACACATCCACCGAGATTCATCCGTCTGTTCCATGCTCTCCTCTGAGATTCATCCATCTGTCCCACGCTGCCATGACTGTGCACTGAGTCTGCCTCCTGCTGATCAGTGCTCCTGATAGCTACCATCAGACGGTCAAACAGTTGCTTAGACTTTTAAGTATATAGATGCTTTGAGACAGCCTATTATTAAAGGATAGGCTCTCCAAGGGGTGTGTGTGTGTGTGTGTGTGTGTGTGTAAAAAAGTGTTAGAGACTGAATTTATGCCTCACTCAGTGAAATTTCAAGACAGAAAATACATTTTCTGCGATACTTTGTCATCATCTGTACACTATCCCACAGCATAACAGGAAATTGTTTAAAAAGAAAAAGCCCAGCTCATTTTTGAGAACATCACATGCTCCTATTTTCATATCCAATTTCTCCCTATTTTTTTTCATCTTAAACGTGAATAATCTGTCTTTCCAAGCTTCCCCTTTCTACGAAAGGTATTTCCCTCTTTTGCTTATCATAAACAAATCAGTCTAGCCTGTTCTCACTTATTTTAATGCAGTTCCTTAAAATGTAGAATTCACCTGTATCTCTGCTTCCTTATATTCCTGCACTCTTGTAATGTGTAACTTACATTCATTACTAGTGTTTTATCTGCAAAGGGAAGAAAGGAAAAAATGATGGAGTCAAGAAGTTCCAAACAGGGAAATGTTTGGGATCGTAGCGGGAGTACAATGGAGAGCTGACAGTGGATGTGTTAAAGGACAATCAGTGGAAATTGGGCAGCATGAATTTCCACTGGTGACGGTCACCCTGGTTACATGCCTCTCCATGACCACGGGCTGCGCAGAAACAGAGAAAGCAAAAATGAGGGACTAGGGCTGATGATAGGCGTGGTCATGTCACTCCTCTGCTTATAAACCTTCGAAGGTTTTCCATTCCTTAATGTGGCCTTCAAGAGCCTTCGCCATCTGGCACTGCGCATTTCCCCAGCCTCTTCTTGTACCACTTTTCCCTTGACTTTCAAAGTCCCATCACCCTGGCCAATATCTTCCGTCTTCTTGGCTTTTGCATATACTTTTCCTTTGATCTGTCATCCCCTACTCCCACCACCGACCCTTTGCTTCAGCTTAAAAACTACTTTCTCAGATAAGCCTTTGCTGACCAATCAGAGCACTCTATCACTATGTGTCTCTACATATGCTTTACTTGTTTTTTTTTTTAAAAAAAAACAAACACAGCCGAAACCGGTTTGGCTCAGTGTTTAGAGCGTCGGTCTGCACACTGAAGGGTCCCGTGTTCGATTCCGGTCAAGGGCATGTACCTTGGTTGCCGGCACATCCCCAGTAGGGGGCGTGCAGGAGGCAGCTGATTGATGACTTTCGTCGATGTTTCTGACTCTATTTCTCTCCCTTCCTCTCTGTGAAAAATCAATAAAAATATTAATAAAAAAACACACACACACACACACACACACAACATTTTTTGTTGATAGTATCACAGATATCCCCCATCCCCCACTTCCTCCCCTACTTGTCTTTCAGCATGCATCACCATTACATATTTACTTTCCATACATGCAAATTGCTCCCTGGAGACAGGCAGTTGGTCTATTTTTAAAAAATTTATAATTTTATTGATTTCAGAGAGGAAGGGGGGAGAGAGAGAGATAGAGAGAGAGAGAGAGAGAGAGAGAGAGACATCAAAGATGAGAGAGAATCATTGATCAGCTGCCTTTTGCACACCCCCTACAGGGGATTAAGCTCCCAACCTGGGCACATGCCCTTGACTGGAATTGAACCTGGGACCCTTGGGTCCACAGGCCGACAACACTCTATCCACTGAGCCAAACCCACTAGGGTGGTCTCTTTTGTTGATTAATTCCTAGCCTCTAGCCCCAGCAGGTGAATGAATGGCAGGAAGAGTTAGCTACTGGACCTTGGGCAAGTTTTGTTTCATCTTTAACTACATCTCCATTTTCTTTTCTGTTAATAGGGTAATGATAATAACAACAACCTCAGGATTGACATTCAGGTTGAAAGAGACAATGCATGCTTTACAGGGTGTCTGGCATGTAGTAAGGGATAGGAAATGTTAGTTATTATTATGAACTTTAAACATGCCCAGCCAGCATGGCTCAGTGTTTGAGCATCATCCTAGGAATTAGGAGGTCAACCGCTTGATTCCCGGTCAGGGTCAGGGCACATGCCTGGGCAGAAGGCTTGGTTCCCAGTAGGGGTGGGGGCATGCAGGAGGCAGCCAATCAATGATTCTCTCTCACCATTAATGTGTCTATCCATTTCTCCCTTTCTCTTCCTCTCTGAAATCAATAACAATATATTAAAAAACAAACAAACCACATAAGATCTGTGAGCAACCAGAACTCTCATACACTGCTGGTAGCAACGCAAAAAATAATGCAGCCACTTTGGAAAACATTTACCAGTTCCTTATAAAGTTACACACACTCTCACCACACAATCCAGCAATCCCACTTCTAGGTATATGCCCAAGTGAAATGAAAACTATGGAGACAAAAACCTGCACATGAATATGTATAGCAGCTTTATTCATCATCACTCGAAACTGGAAACAACCCTACAATACAAGCCCATTGTTGCAGAGCCATATAAGTGGAATATTACTCAGCAAGAATAAATGAACTACTGGTACATGTAACAGTATGATGAAACCCAAATGCATTATGCTAGGTGAAAGACTCTGATGGTGACATATGTTTCTATTTATATGGCATTCCGAAAAAGTCAAATTATAGGGACAGAAATCAGGCCAGTGATTGCCAGGGGATGGGGTGAGGTATGAGGAAATTTGGATGGGAGGGATGATGGAATTATCTTAGGACTTGCTTGTGATGAAAAAAAAAAAAAAATCCAAGACAGGTGGCTATAATTACATTTTTCTTTTTTATTTATTTTAGGGGGGGCATTTATATTCCTGAATATAAAAGTACTTCAGGCTCATTGTAGACATTTTGAGAAAATGTACAAAGAATGTGCATTCCATCACCCGCAGGAAAATACTATTTCTTTGCTATCATTTTTTGTTTATTTTTTGTTAATCCTCACCCACAATTTTCCATTGATTTTCAGAGAGAGTGGAAGGGAGGGAAGTGGAGAGACAGAGAATGAGAGGAACATTGGATGTGAGAGATACATCCATTAGTTATCTCCCATATACATCCTGACCTGGGCAGGGGATTAAGCCTGCAACGGAGGTCCGTTCCCTCTTCAGGAATTGAAATCCGCAGGCTGACTCGCTATCCACTGAACCAACTGGCTAGGGATTTGCTATCATTTTTAAAAAATATTTTTTTTTATTGATTTTGTACAGAGAGGAAGGGAGAGAGATAGAGAGTTAGAAACATCGATGAGAGAGAGTCATCGATCAGCTGCCTCTTGCAAACCCCCTACTGGGGATATGCCCACAACCAAGGTACATGCCCTTGACCGGAATCGAACCCAGGACCCTTCAGTCCCCAAGCCGACGCTCTATCCATTGAGCCAAACCGGTCTCAGCATGCTATCATTTTTATAGGCACAAAATACACACATACAAACTGGGACAATGCTGTACATTTTTTGCTTTCTAAAATATGCACGTTTTCATGTCATTAAACAATTTAAAAAACTATGGTTTTATGAATCAATAATATTCTATTGTATAGCTGGTTTATATTTTAACGCTTCCTTTATGGTTAGAAATTTTGTTGATTCCATCTTTTCTTTACTACAATTTTGATCAGATGAAATAATAAAAAAAAAAAATCTCAGAGGGGCCAGGCACGCTTCCATCAGAGTTTCACAATGTGTAACTGGTGAAACAGCTCTTCCTGTGGCTGCAGTTCTCGCATTGTTTGAAGTGTCGGGGGAAGAGTGGTTCCACAGGGTGATCTGGCCCCCTTTTTTCCCCGTGGTGCATAAGAAACAGACACGCTAACGTTACCTGTATTACTAGCTTACATTTGCAGGCACGCAGATGGAGTGATCTGGGGCTCAGACTCCAGCTAGCTATTCAGAGTCTCAGAAAGCAAACAATTCCCCTCTGAGGGGCCCTGACTGAAGCTGGGTCTCCCCCTGCCCACCCTCACCCCAAGAAGCTGCAGACTCCCCCCCAAATCTCTGCCTACAGGCTTGACCTAAGGAGAACTTAACTCTGAAAAGTGCACACTGTCCCATCCTACAGATTGTCGTGGGCAGCATTGCCACTTACCAGCCGGGGTCATTTCTCCCCTCGATGGCAGGGGACACCTACTGCCCTTAACCAAGGGGGCCCTGGCAGCTGAAGGATCCCGGGCTTCGGGGCCCGAGGGGGTGGCTGTCGGTCGTTCGGTCGGTCCCCACAGTGCGAGGTCCTGCATCCTCCCGGGTGGAGGGGGGGGTCCTGCCGTGTCAGCGCCCTCCGGCGAGGTGACGAGGGCCCCCTCTTCTAGGGTCAGGGAAGGGACGCCGGGACTACAGGGCTGTCCAGGAAGAATCCGGGACGTTGAAGGCTTGCAGGCTCCGGGCAACCAGAGGTCAGTCCTCCGCTATCCCAGAATGCCTCGAGTCCCGGAAGTGCCCGGCTTCCCGGAAGTGCCCGGCTAGCCGACCGAGCCGGAGCTCGCCGGGGCGCTGCACGCCGCCGCGGGTCGCGGTTCTGCGGGTCTGGTGACCGCAGGGGGCCCGACTCGGGGTTGCGGCGCGTGTCCGGGGGGAGCTGGGCGGCGGGATGATGGAGGAGGAGGAGCTGGAGTTCGTGGAGGAGCTGGAAGCGGTGCTGCAGCTCACGCCCGACGTGCAGCTCGCCATCGAGCAGGTGAGCGTTCCGCCCCCTGACGGGAGGGGAGGGGAGGGGAGGAGGGGGCCGGGGCGCCCCGGGGGTGGAACCCGGGGTAGCTCCGGGGAGAAGCGGCCTTTGGGCAGAGGTGGGAGCTGGGCACTGGGGGGAAGGAACAGTTAGCGGGGAGGTGGTGGTGGAAAGGGGTTTCTGAATTGAGGGAAGGAGAGACCCCTTTCTAGGCCTTGGTTGTCTTTGGGGGCGGGGGGCATCCCAATGCGTTTGTTTGGGCAAAGCAGCTGTGCTCCCCGAAAGGACGGACCTGGAGGTGGGGACCTCCTGGCTCGCAGCCGAAGTTTTGGGGGGGTTGTAGAGCTGTTCTTGCATTTACCAGGCTGGTGTGCCGCCGCCCCCAATTCTCAATCCAGCCCCTTGGGAGAGACTCCGAATGGAGGGGAGAGCGGAACTTTGATTTCCGAAGCGGATTTGAAAAAGGACCCCTTTGTCCTGCTGAACTGGTTGACAATTGCTGCTGTTGATTTGTGGGGTGAGACAAGAATATTATCAGGAGGCCTCCCTTACCTGGAGGGACTCTTTAGTTGCCTAGCCTAAATTCTCTTTTTAAGTTTATTGAGTTTTTAAAAAAGTATTGATATTAAAAATAGTGATTTAGACCAGCGATTTTTTTTTTTAACCAGTGTGCCATGAGATGATAAGGTTAAAATCGCTAATTTAGATCCTTATAGCGGGTACTGCCCCTGATAAAAGGAGATCTCTCTTAATAGATTTTTTTTAATGTATATTTTTCTAGGAGGGGCTGGATTACCCATACAGAGCTCCTTTGGCTCACCCTGAGGATGTCAGTCCATTGAGCAAAGGTTTTGGTGTTGAGGCCACACCCACCTCCATTTTGAAAAAAAAAAAAGCTCCTTGAACCAGTGGGCTCTAATAGAAGCAGCAAATCATACAGTCAGTTATTGTTTGACAAGGATTTCAAGACACAGCTTTACTATTAATAATATTGAGTTTTAGCACAGGTTTACCTAATAATCAGAAAAGACTTTGCTAACCAGAATAACCATATTGAGCTGGTAAAATCCACTACCAGGGGATCACTTGATTGCTTTTATAATGCACCTTGTTCAGGTTGCAACTTTTTTTTTTTAACATATATTTTATTGATATTTTACAGACAGGAAGGGAGAGAGATAGAGAGCTAGAAACGTCGATGAGAGAGAAACATTGACCAGCTGCCTCTTGCACACCCCCTACTGGTACATGCCCTTGACTGGAATCAAACCCGGGACCTTTCAGTCTGCAGATCGACGCTCTACCACTGAGCCAAACCGGTTTCGGCAGGTTGCAACTTTTGAAGGGAATTAGCCGTGTTTCTCAGAGGCAGCATTCCTTTTCCTCTTAGAGATGGACAGTTCCTAGTTGCCAGCTCTTCACTTCCTGACATTGTGTAAAGTATAAAAAAATTGCTTCAATGCATAGTGGATTCTATTGCTGAGACATAGTGCATTAAGTCTCTTTTTTAATATATTGCTTTAATATATTGTTTCTACCAAGATTTTTAAAATATCTTGTTCTGTTGATTTTAGAGAGATAGAAACATTGATGAGAGAGAAACATTGATAGGCTGTCTCCTACATACCCCCACACTGAGGATGGAGCGTGCAGCCAACCTGGGCATGAGCCCTGCTGGGGCATTGATCTGTGAGCTCCTGGTTCATGGGCTCAAACACAGCCACACCAGCAGGCTGGGCAAGACTTTTTTTTTTTTTTTAATATATTATATTTTTATTGATTTTTTTACAGAGAGGAAGGGAGAGAGATAGAGTGTCAGAAACTCTCTTTCAATGAGGGAGAAACATCGACCAGCTGCCTCCTGCACACCCCCCACTGGGGATGTGCCCGCAACCAAGGCGCATGCCCTTGACCAGAATCGAACCTGGGACCCTTCAGTCCACAGGCCAATGCTCCATCCACTGAGCCAAACCAGCCAGGGCGGGCAAGTCTTTCTTAATACAACCATGTCATCAGTTGGTTTGATCTGATTTGCACAATGCCCACTTGTTGGGATTTTGTTAATATCTGTGGAACTTTTCACTGTTTCATATTCTATTCTGTTAGTTGCACCAAGATCTAAGATGTTAAAATTACAGGTGTTGATAAAAATTAAAGGTTTATTTTAACAGGTATTTTATTGAGCATCTGTTGAGTGTTAAGACTTATAGAATGAAAAAAGATTTGATTTTTGCCTTTTCCACCCAGTAGAGATGAAATAATACATAAAATAAGACAGAAAGATGATGGTTATTTCTAATCCCTTATCTTTATATAGGTATTTCCAAGCCAGGATCCTCTAGATCGAGCAGATTTCAATGCTGTGGAGTATATCAATACCCTGTTCCCCACGGAGCAAGTAAGTATGAAGTTTCCTTCGTTTTAGTGGCTTCTGGCTCTTCTTGAGTGTTATGATTGGTGTGTTGTACTATAAAATCGAAGTAGCCTTGATAAAGAAAGAGTGTTAAATTGAAATCAAACTTCATTGTAACCAGTTGGGGGGTAGCTAATACCAAATACTGTTGGTAGAGTGGAATTCTTGGTAGAATGAGTATATTACTAGAAATTATACCCTTAAATATTTTCCATGCAACTGATATTCGCTGGGCTAAATCTTAAGCCTATACCCCCTCCCCCCAAATATTACACACATATCCTAGCACCAATCTTAAATAAATTAGGTTTTAGTAGCGTTTGCTCTATAAATAAAAGGATGAAAATAGAGGTTTTAATTCCCCTCCCCCCCCTTACATTCTAATGGGTATTATTGTAAACCCCTTGGGGATGCACACACCCTCCTCTGGAGATGCTGTTCTACGCACGGGGTATTCACAAAAGGACTCTTGATGGTAATGACTGGATCAGATTCACATTTAAAATATTCCATCTGGCTCTGGCCGATTTGGGTCAGTGGTTAGAGCAATGGCCCTCAGTTTGAAGGGTTTTGGGTTTTATTTCGGTCAAGGGCACGTACCTCAGTAGCAGGTTCAATCCCCAGCCCTGGTTGGAGCACATGCAGGAGGCAACCAAGTCAGTGTGTCTCTCTCAATCAATGTTTCTCTCCCCATCTTCCCTCCCTTCCACTCTCTCTCTAAAGATAAAAAATATATACCCTGTTTCCCCAAAAATAAGACAGTGTCTTATATTAATTTTTGCTCCCAAAGATGCGCTAGGTCTTATTTTCAGGGGATGTCTTATTTTTCCATGAAGAAGAATACGGTACACATTTATTGTTAAATGAAAATAAAGGAAATTTATTACCTGTATACAGTACAGTAGTACAGTAGTTGTCAACACAAACCAGACAAACTGTGAATCCTACAGTATCAAGAATGTACTCATTTATTCAATGACAATTATGTGACCATCTTCTGGAACATCATCATAACAATCCAGTTCCTGAATTTCCTGGTGAATTTCTTGTGACTCCATTTCTTAGGAACCAGTGGACCAAATCTCTCATGTTTAGCAATAACACTGTCTTTAAATGAGTACTTCTTGTCAAGGTAGCCTGCTTGCAGTGCATTTGCAATGCAACTGTCAGTGATTTTCTCCCATGAATTCTTCACCCAAGTCACAACTTCTTGCAGTTTAGGTTTCACAAAGTTTCCACGCTGATTTCTCTCCAATCTATTTTCAATGTAGTCATTAATTTCCCTGGCTTGTTTATTGCAATATCTAGAGTCTGGAGATAGGCTGTCATTCCTGCGGGAATCATTATCTGATCTATTTTTTCTTTCGTGAAGAAATGTCTTCATGTCTTTAGTGCGGTGAGTGCTGGCTGCATCCCAGACTAGCAGACCTCTTTGGCTCCCTTGCATAACAAGCGGCAGCATTAAATCGACCCACTTCCTTATAACTGCTTGTGTGGCCTAGGCTTTTTCAGTTTCAAGAATAAAAACGCCCAAAACATGTTCAATCTTTTCCTTCTTGCCCTTAGAAATGATTAAAGGTGGGATTTTAGTGCCATCCAGACGAATTGCCAAAATACAGGAAACACGTGCACTTTCGTAAACAGTGGAGGGAATGTACACTAGTGCACTTTCGTAAGCAGTGGAGGGAATGTACACTAAGGAGGCACCCTGCTGTTCAATTGTTGTTTGAGATGATTGGCCCATAAACACTGCAGTTTCATCCATAGCAGTCATGTTGGAAAGATTGTATTTAGAGAAGTCAGCATCATCAATAAAGGACTTGAATGCAAGTGCTCGCTTAATAACTTGAGTATCTTCCAACCTAAACAATGTTGTAGATCTTCTTAAAGACAGTTCACTTCCCTGAAGGAAATTATCCAGCCAGTGTTGTGATGCTTTGAAGTCTTCGAGGGCTATGTCAAACTGTGGTGCCATTGCAAGGGCAAATTCTTGAATCTGAGTCCTATTCACAACCAAAGCCTCTGCTCTCCTGTCAACAACCCATTCACAGATCAGGTCTTCCAGCTCAGAAAATAATGGTTGCCGACCTGATCCACACTTGCGCTTTTTAGCATTTCCCTTGTCCACTTGTTCAATGAGGTTACCATACTCTGCTCACCAATCGGATACTCAACATCTCTTTGCAGAAAGCAGTAAGATTTTGGCCCCAAGAGTCTTCCACAATTCCTTTCTTGTACTCCGCGGAGTAGCTTTTTCTTTTTGCTCTCATTTCTAGGGGTAAAAGGAATTGGGGTATCAAGGTGGGGGGAGGGGGATCATTTAAAATGACACAGGGGGATCCAAAATGGCACGGGAGAATCAGAGGGGGGATTACCATTTTAGTAACCCCTTTTGATCCTCCTGTCATTTTGATTGCCCCCTCGGATCCTCCTGTGTCATTTTAAGTGATCCCCCTCCCCCCACCCCTGTGCCACTGAACACCTTCACCAGACATCCCCCCTACCCCTTTATCAGACATCTACCCCCTGGGGCCTGCCTGGGGACTGTCACTGGGCTTGCTGGGGCCTGGATCTGGGCTGGAGCAGGGTCTGCCACTGACTGAGAACCTTCAGTCATCATGAGGGCAACCGAGAGCATCAGGTAGTGTCATCAGAGACAGACCAGCACTCACCACCTTCACGGCGCCCTGTCTGCTCTAATCCTCCTGTTCTTCACGCATCTGCGAAAGTCTCCTCCTCTCTCCTGCCCCACGCTCACCACTCACTCCAACCTCCACTCCGCCTCCACACAGCAGTGACATCAGGACTCCGAGTAACGTCACTGGTTGCTAGACACCAGTCGGGGCGGCCTTAGCGACCAGTTTATGGTTAATTAATTTTCATTCTGAGACAGAGCCTGGAGGGGCCTTATTTTCGGAGGATGTTTTATTTTCAGGGAAACACGGGTATATATACAATATATCCTCAGGTGAGGATTAAAAAAAAATTTGTCTGGCCCTGGCCAGTGTGGCTGTTGGTTGGAATGTCGTCACACACACCAAAAGGTTTTGGGTTCAATTCCCAGTCAGGGCACATCCCCAGGTTGTGGGTTTGATCCCCCATCGGGGTGTCTGGCAGCCAATCCCTGTTTCTCTCTCACATTGATAATTCTCTCCCTCTTCCTTCTTCTCTCTCTTAAAAAACAATAATCAATGAAAATATATCCTTGGGTGAGGATTAAAAAATATTCCATCTGGCAGCAATGTGGAGGGTGAATTGGGGGGAGGCAGAGCTGGAGGCAGGAAGACCAGCGAGCAGAATGCTGTGACAGATCACTTAAGAGAGATGATGAGAGCTTCAGTAGAGACCAGGATGGAGAGAACAAAATCCAAGAGCTATTTAGGAGGCACAAGACAGAATGGGGGGATGTAGAACCGGAAAGGGATGTAGAACCCAAAATTCACTCATTTACTCAACAAAACCACTTCCTCTGCTTCCCTCTGTAAGAAATTTGTGGCTAGAGGAATGGACAAGGCAAATACCCTCCTTCCCAATACAGAGCTACCTTAATAGATAATAAAACCATTAGCAGATGATAAGCAAATTATTATACTTTACAATGACTTGTTTGTATAACTATTAATTACTTGTTATGTGCTGTCAAAGGAGTTCTCACTTCTAGTACAACGGTAATAATAGATTATATGGTATTTATTAGATGCTTACTAGGCACCAGGCACCATTCAAACACTTAATGATAAGCTGTCACTTTGTTAACATGCTTGCGTTATGATGGGAATAATGAAGCACCGAGAGTTAGAGAAAGCCCAGCTTACACATGCTAGCATTGCCATGAAGGAAACATGCTCAGTTACTGTGAAAACAGAGCGTGCACCTGAGGGACCCACAAGGGCTTCCATGAGGAAATGGCAGTTAGGCTGTGCATTACAGGCCAAATGAGGGATTTTGAACTTTGATCTCTAGCCTGGCAGACTAAGTGGGCGTTGGCACTTTACCCCATGTTGGGAGCAGGAAGAAAAAGTGGCAAACAGGCTAGGAGGAGGATGTAAAGTCGAGCTCATTTTTGAACATTTTGGGCCGTCTAAGGTAGAAATATGTGGTTGGATAGTATTTGATTCTGAAGCTCATAATCCTCATAATTGTTACTGTCTTGGCATTAACCAACTTTTTCTAATGGACATATTAATTTTTAAAATAAAGTTGGAAAACATGGCATTTTACTATGGATTATCTCTTTTGAGATTTCATAGATAGCCTTTGGAGCTCACATTTTTTTTTTTTTATAATTTAAAGATGATATTAGAAATTTATTTAAATGTTGTTTTTAATCCTCCAGAGGACATGTTTTCACTGGAAAAAAAAAAATTTTTTTTTGAAAGAGAGAAACATCAATCAGCTGCCTCCTGTAAGCACCCTGACAGGAGGTGGGAATTGAACCCACCATCTTTCAGTGTACTGGATGACATAGAGCTCATGATTTTCTATGAAAAAGGAATTCTGGGAATTAGCTGGACATGGAAATTTGGGAACAGCTGATATAGAGATAGTTTTAACCATGAAAATATTTCATTTACCCCACCCTACTAAGATTGCTGACCCACTACTAAAGCAAAAGTGTTAGATTTGAAAATTATATCTAGGAAACCACCAGGTTCTTATATATTACTGATATCTTTTTGTATTTGTTTTTAAACTAATGTAGGGAACACAAGACATCCAGATTTAGTTATATGTCTTATGCCCCCATGTACATGCTAATGTGTTGTGAAGTTTCTTAGATGACTCAGAAAATTTATGACCCAGGGGTTACCTTTATTTCCCCAACCCCCTATTTACACTTAGTTCATCTCCCAACCCAGATTTCCATGGACCTTAAGGAAAGCTAATAAAAAGTGGTGGCATGATTTATAATTTCTTTCACCTATTGCTATATCTTGGGCAAAACCCATCTGTATGCCTCATGGACCTGCAGTAAATACTTGTGA